TTAACATAAAGCAGACTCTTTCCACATACTAGGCTTAGCATCAAACCTCTTTTCACATGTTTGCATCAAACCTCTTCTCAAAATCTCAAAAACTCAAACAGTTAAGTCACTTCACATAATAAATTAATAAGTCTAACAACAACAGTTAAAAAAGTTAAAAGGTAGTTCTTTTGTAATTATTATCTCAACTAAAGTCGCTCTAACTACTTCGAATTCATGGCTTCAACAAGCAGAAATATCATTTCGAATTAGACTCAGTTCAGTTATTGCGTGTATAATTGAGGTTCTTTTCAGAAGATTTCAGTTATTCCTTTTGAATTTTTTTTTGACAAAACTTACTTGACGACGAGGATGATGAACAAGCGGCAGCAGGCGGAGGACTACCCTCAGAGTAGCAGTGAGCAGAGACTCAACAAAAGCAAGATGGATATTTAAAAAATGAGAGTTATTTTTGGAACCCTAGTATAAAGTCTAACGAATCATTTGTTTGTTTGTTCCGTTGAGGAAATTATTTAGCTATTTAATGGGAAAAAAATTATACTATTTCTGTCCAACAATAAATTATTATATTTTTTTGTAATTTAATGTCTTGAAGTATTAATTTCATGGATTCCACTCTTATTATCCTACATAAATTTTTATTTTTTAATATCTTATAGATGGAATTTTTTTTGAAAAAAATTGATTGCATTATATATATAAAGAGTGATAACCAACCACCGAGAATAACAAATGAAATGAATACTAATAACAAACAGGTCGCAACCAAATAAACGACAATCACAAACATACAGATAAAACAAAATGATGCAATGCAATGTGGTTAATCCATAAAAGTAAAAATTTGGTAGAAATCTCGAGTCGCCCAAAATGCTACCTCAGACTTGTCAACAACTATAATGCAAGAGAAATGTAATCTGAAATTCAATCTATGCGCCACCTTGAAGTACCTCCTCTAACTTATCAGTAAAGGTAGATTTTCATTTTATCCATTTTTTTTTATAAAACTAAGTATTTGCCTTCAACTAGGACCTCAAATGTAAAACCAACAAGATTTAAAATATTCATCAATTTTAAGACATAACCCCCCCCCCCCCCCCCTCCCCAAATGGTGTATTTCCTCAAAATTCCAATATTTGACACCCAATTTTGTTCCTTCTTTCTTCTAATTTATTTCGTTGAACTTCTAAGTTAATAATAAGTCGAATACTTTATATTTCACTATTATTTTCGCTTATTACTATTGTGATCGTAACTATCTATGTTACTTTAACTTTTATTATTTTTATGATTATCATCTTTTTATTATCATTTTCACTATTTTAAAAGTATATTTTTTTATTAACATTATTATTATCACTTTATTGTCGTCTTCTTTAAATAGATTGTCGTTACTTTATTTCAAGTTTCTTTCTTGCTAAACTTTTTACATCATATATATTGCGCTAGTTATTTGAATGAGAAGCTCAAAAAGAATTAATTTAAGAAAGAAAAAGACCATAAAATTGGGCCTAATTGAATTTCCATTAGACCAAATATTCAGCCCATTTTCGATGTCAATTATATCCAAAAATAGGCCCAAACTCGTTGGCCCTTTTGAAACATATCAGATTTCTCAAAAGAAAACCTCCCATAAACCTAATCTTCTCAACCGCCACAACGTCATTTCTCCCTCTTCACGCAGCTCTCAACAATGGCATATTTTGGCCATTCCATTTTTGTGCAAACCTCGACAACCCTCTCACCTTCAAGGATTCGATCAACACATAAGGCCAAAGAACTTTTAGAGCTGGTCTGATTTCTCTACAGAAAAAGCTGATTTGAACAACTTTTTTTCAAATTTCAAACGCCTCTTTTGTTCTTCAGAAATTCCACTCAAATCTCTATCTCTAACTCTACCATTCTTCTCCTATAAATACTACCTTATATCTCTTCATCTGGGACGAGTGTTGACTTGTTAAAAGAATCACCCAATAAGCTTTTACACTCGCAAAACGCATCACAAAAATCTTAACGCTCTTGGTATATTTCATTCTTAGATACAACTTTGAACTTTGCATCTTTTAAGTGTTCATTCTGTTTCAGTTGTCTTGTAGCCATAAGAGAGACATTTGAATATGTTTGGTTCAAAAATTATTCTTTAGGTAGTAGATTTGAGACCTACAATAGCCATAATTTGCTGTCCCACAAATGGTAATTTCGATAGACTTTCTTTTATTACATCATTTCGTTAATCATGTTTATTTTGCTTAATAATCCATGCTAGTGTGTATATATATTGAAGCTTGTGGTTCTTACTTTGTCTATGATTTCAAGATGATTTTATGTATACAAATCTAACTTTTATTTTCTTGTTATATGTTAAATTTTGCTTCAATAACTCTATTTCTCTTGTATTGCGGAAAAGTATGGCCATGAGAATATGCAGTCCCATTTAATCTCTATTAATATGTGATCGTAATTGGAATCAAGAATTCTATTTCTTTGTTGACATTATGTTGTTAAAATATTATATATAATTTGAACCACTAATTATGATACTTTTCTTAGATATATATGTTTAGATCTACTATTTGTTTGAAAAGTTGTTTCTGGCAGCCTGAATTAAAGTAAGTTTGTAAACTACTACTATGTAATACTAAAGAAAAGAAGTGTCTGTTTGGTATAAGTTTATAAGTCTGTTAACGTTATGATTTATTTATCCATTTTTCTAATCATGTTTATCTTGTTTGTCAATTTTGCATGAACACCAGAGTTGAAAAGTCTTACTTTAAGACTCGACATCACCGTGAGACGACCTTGTGCATGTACATCTTTGTTCGTGGCTCTTACTCCCCTAGAAGCTCCATTTGAACAGAATTGAATGAGAGAACTGGGAGAAAAGGATAGACATTTCTTTCCCTATTCTTGCTAAATAGTTTTAAGTATCACTTATGTGTTTTTATCTACCCTTAACTCCCTACATGTTATTCACATTTATTACTTGTTGTATGTGACGCTTTATGTTTTGAGTATTCTAGTAACAATTAATTATATCAGATAGATTAGAGCTTATTAAATTTCCTAACATGAAAGTGTTCTAGTATAATAGTTTTTTAAACTTGACTGCCTTTTTCTTCAAATTAGTAATTAGCGTGTAGATATAATTTGTTAGCCCCTTTTCTTTTAATGGTAAAGAAGTATCTTTGAAATAAGTCAAGTTCACCATTTTTTAAAAAAAATAATATCTTTTGCTACTTCTCATGTTTTAGTTTTGAAAAAAGTTTCTCTTTTTAAGTTCTAATGGGTTTTCATTTGTTTCAAAAGTGTTACAAACACAAAGCCGTTTCAGTTTCATTATGTTTCCAATAATATAAATTATCATAAAAAATATCTTTTCAATTATTGACTCTAAAGTTTCTAAAAATTAGCATTTATATTGTAATTTTTACTTGCTTACCCTTAGCCTAATTAATTAATTAAGTTCGATCGGCTAACCATTTTTAATTGATGTTAAATGATGCCTCACCCCTTCCTTTTAGATGAGTTGAACTCTTACCTAGAATTTCATGTTGAGTAGACCTTTAAATGAAGTTAACTTTAGACATGACTTTAATTAATTTTAAGTGCTCTAATTCACCATAAATAATTAGGTGACGACTTCTTAAGTTAGTTAATAATTTAGGAATCACCAAAATGTTGTACACTATTTTGATCCGGTTAAAATGAAGTATAACAACTTAGCGACTCCGCTGGAGATTTAATAGGTTCTAACCACAACAGACTTAGTTTAATTAGACTTTATGTGCTTACTTTAATTACTTTACTTGTCATAATTTTTTTTACATGCTATCAATTATTTATATGCTCTAAGTTATTTTCACATGCTATCAATTATTTGTTAACTATAAATTATTTTTACATGCTATTAATTATTTGTTAGCTATAAATTGTTTATGTGTTACTGCTTTCCTTAACTGTCATTCCATTTATATTTCTCCACTTTTTGGAAATTCACACTATCACACGTACACGTGAGATGTGTTTTGCGCACCCATACTTTTAAAATCCCAAAATTTAGGAGAGTTGGTGTATGTGCGGGGTTTTTCGTGTGACCGCGTAGCCTTCTCACTCGAGTAGTCCACTCGAGAACCTTGTGTCTAGTAAATCCACTCCTAATTTACCTAGAATAGAGCTAAACCAACACACTTTATAAGGAACATACATAATTTCATGAACTAAGAGGCTTTATACCCTTGATGTATTAAGTCTAATAGTCGATTTTACCTTAAATGTCCAAGTGAGTTTCCGACCCCGAGTAACGACCTATCATTATTTATGTGCATATTTGAGGAATATTTATGCCTAAATATGGACCATTTGCTCTAATTAGTTAAACTTTAGGGGGATAAAATGACTAACCTTTATGTGACAGGTACGAAAACTTGAATTTGGAGTACAATGAAGTGACGATATCACCAAATGAAACCAAGAAGGATAGACATAGCAAATTTCTTTTACTTTATTTAGATTAGGAAATACTTTACATTGTATTCATTCAACATGTAATAAATTTTATGCTATTTTGTACCTTTTTTTTAGAAATAAAATTTGCTTAATTAATCAACAACAATAGAATGATATATTATGGCAAATATACTCTTCGAATCCGCGTTAGGCCTACCTCTGGCACGAAGATGTCACAAACATATTAGGATGCCTTTACATGTTATTTTTACAATTTATTTGAGTTTACTTGATGACTTGTTTGTATATTATTTTTTTAACTTATTTGACTTGCTTGCTATGTAACTTATTTGAGTTTATGTGAACATGACTTTACTTTTTGATTTGAAACTAACATCATTTGTATTTCACTGTCTATATTTTATCTTTATTTTTATTCCCAATCAAAGTTGATTCGTGTTGACAATCGAGCTGGCCGACCATCCTTACTTCACAAGGTCCAAGTCATCGGCATTACCTCGGCGTAGTTTGGTTATTCAACGAAAAAAATTAATATGACTAACCTAACCGCTTCTGATTCAATTGGTCTAGGACATATCATGGTTTCTAATGACTCTCCCGAGACTTCCGAAGATAAAACTACTATTCAACATATCGTCTGCTTGACTCGAGATTTAGGATCTACGTAGTGAACTAACTCAGGTTAGAGACTTGACCAATTTATCTATCACACTCCAAAGTCTACTTCCTGAACCTAAAAGTACTGCACCAAACCCACATCGCTTTCCATCACTTGATTCACCAGTTCCTGAACACTTTCCTCCACAACAGCCTCCGCCTACCAACAATAACCTTCCCCCAATGACCTACCCAAATCCACCGAATTTTCCACCCATCTACACTTCCCCACAAAGTCAACCGCCTACCTACACTACCTATGCTACTCCTCCTAATCCACCACATGTAAACCCACAAAATCAACCTCCAACTCATACTCTTTACGTTTCTTTTCCCACTAACACCTATCCACTGCCTACAACTACTCTTGTAAACACATCGAATTCACCACCTCCAATCCAAAATTCTCCCACTATCCAAACTTATCCAATTCAGCATATACAAGGGGCACATATTGCCACTCCTTACGCGCAACATGATTCTCCAGTATATGCGGTGGAAATTCAAGCCTTTACCAACCCAATATCGGTCAAGTTTCAACCCGAGGTAGATCAATATGAGGAAATGGATAATGATGTGAAGGCAAAGACTGATGATGTGTTAGTTAGAGAGATTCGTGATCTTAATGAAGCAATGAGAAATCTCCAAACTACTAGGGGTAACAAAAGCTTAGAATATGAGGATTTGTGTGTGCAACCTGGCATTGACTTGGGTATAGGGTACAAACCGCCAAAGTTTGATATATTCAATGGAATCGATGATCCTCATACACATCTAAGGGAATATTGTGACAAATTGGTAGGAGTGGGGAGATACTAGAGGGTCCATATGAAGTTGTTCATAAGAAGTTAATCTAGTAAACCTCTTTATTGTTACGCACAACAAGATCTCCATAAATGGCGTGGTTGAAGTGATATGACACAAACCTTTATAGATCGATTCAAGTTCAACATTGATATCACACCCGATAGGTTCTACTTGACTAAATTAAAGAAGAAGTCAAGTAAGACATTTCATAAATATGCTCTATGTTGGAGGTCAGCATCAGCTAGAGTCCAACCACCGATGAGTGAAAGTGAAATGACTGCTTCCTTCATTAAATGTCAAGATAACAGTTTTTACTATGAGAAAATGATAACCATGATGGGGAAAAAGTTCACAGAAATCATTAGAATGGGAGAAATCTTGGAAGAAAGAACCAAATCAGGAAGAATCCAATACTTTACAGCCTTGCAAGTTGCAAGTAAAGCGATTCAATATGGTTCTATCAATGGGAACAAAAAGAAAAGAGAAGATATATCTACTATCATGATTGACCAAAGATGCACACCAAGTCAAGTTCGTCCCTACCTAAATCAACCACACCAATCCATATACCCTTGCCAATATGGTGAAACTTCACCGACTCTCTACCATCCTCCATCAACTCCTTAACATGTGTACAACACCCAGGTAAGCTACTATCAACCTCGAACCCCTACTTACCATAAACCACATCCGTACCAACCCATCCAGGCTTCAACTTTTCAAAATCGACCATATTCCGCACCTAGAGCTCGTCCAAATTATGAAATCAAAACCACTCGGAACTATACCAAAATTGCCGAACCATTGGCTCAATTGCTTGAGAGGTTGAAAGTTGTAGGTATGATTCAACCAATTGAAGGAAAAATTCTTGATTCTATTCCAAAATGTTTTAATGGTTCCAAGCGTTGTGCCTATCATTCTAAAGGTGTTGGACACAACAATGAGGATTGTTATGGTCTCAAAACCAAGATTTAAGGTTTGATTAAAGAAGGAGCAATTCAACTTACTGGACCTCAGCCCAACGTGAGCAACAACCCTCTACAGAAATGCTAATGTGAACATGATAATTATAGAGGAAAATTTGGTTGTGAAAGGAAGTATTATTCTAATTGGAAAGGTGAAAAATGAACTTTATCATCATTTTATGCTCCTGCCATGACAACCCAAGAACAGGCACCGATAGAGATAACAACTACAACTACTTACATGCCTATCTACAATATTGAGACACCAACTATTTGGGGTGATGAACCAGAGGAGACTTTGAAGAATTGGACTTGTACTCCATTCCTAGTTCGCCGGGAGTCTTGGTAGATTAAACAAGTAGTAACACTTTTGAAGTAGCACGATTTTAAAACATTTAGACTTAAATCGTGCCTTAAAACTTTATGTTGTTTTGCCTTATTTTTTTGAAAGCTTAATTGCAAAATCTATGAATGCATTTCCTATTTTCTTAATTGTCTCTTACTTATTACTTTTAGATATACATTTTTTTAATATATCAATTTTCAAATCTATCAATTTTATGATTGTGACGTATGATGAAACAAATGAACAAAAGTTTGATACGAAGCAAGATGATGAAATATGTGAAGATGACTTAGAGTTGAACGATCAACCATGTATCATGACAACATGACAATATCTAAGCATGAGAGGTCAAGACACTACACCAAAGGTTGACATTAGATAGGTTTCTTTTAAATGTAACTTTCATTTTTCATGTAACTTACGAACTACGTTCTGACATGATTCCTTTGGTAGGATACATAGGCAACCCACATAGGGTTTAGTTTTAATAAAGAACAATTCTAAATTTTCCTACTTGTAACATGAGAACTACGCCTGACTTGATTCCTTCGGTGGGATACGTAGGCCACCCACATATTGTTCAGTCACATTTGGGTAGAAAATAAATTATTTTACTATTAATGTCATCTGAACTACACATGGCATGATTCCCTTAGTGGGATATGTAGGCACCTTATATCGGTCTCACCACAATATAAATTTAGTATACTTCTTTGAAATCAACATTGGGGCATAATTTTGGGAAACTTGGTCATGGAATGATTGGAAACTGTTAAGCTATAAGCTACTACCTGACAAGAAGTAACAAACAAAGGTGTTCATTTTGTTTCAAATTTGTCACAATCTAAGAGTTGGTAGAAGTTATTTTTCTTACAACTTATAGACATATACTTACCTATTTTCCTACGTACTAACAAATGTCTCTTTTTAAAAATAAATAAATTTGGACTTGTAGTCCTTTTTATTCAGTCCTTAATGGACTAAAAGTTAAGACACAAAACAACCCAAATAATCTGTCGGCCCATAGCCAGACCATTAATAAATACATTGTATGGTTTCCTAATGTGTTCTCACTACCACTTTCCACTTCAGCTTCCTCAGTTCCTTCTTTAAAACCTGCCGCTCGAGAATGTTCTCCGTGATTTTCTTTAACGATGAATTGAAATTCCTTCTTCTTTGGGTAATCAACATCCTTCATGATCAACCTGTGATATGTATTTCTATCTTCAGCTCTCAAAGGTTTGTATTCTCTTTCAATTTCTTTGCTACCATTTCTCCCCTTTTCAGTTGACTCTAGCTTTCTTGCAGGTGTGTCTTCCAGTTGAAGTTCTTGTCTAGCTCAAATGAGAGTGTGAGCCTTGTATTTCAGCTATGAAGCTCCGTGTAAGAACCCTTCACCCTCTTTTTTTTTATTTCTTATTTGAGACCTTGACCCCTTTATTTACCAGTTAAAGCCGAATAGGAGAGAACTAGTTAGCTCCCGTGCTTCTTTATGTCGATCTCTTTGTTGAATGCTCATTGTGGATTCAGATAAGGCTCCTTGTCTCTCGGCCTTTCCTGGTCCTTTTACAACTCTTTTGCTCCAAAAATAGATAGATTCTAATTTGCACATATCATAACTGAGTAACTCTGTGTCATCTATGTTGTATCTAAGCATGTTGTCCGTTGTTGTTAACGTATATTTTTCTTGTTTTAATCCTAACTGCTGGGACATGATGTTTATCCATATTAAGAATTTTTATTCCTTGTTTTTCAAGTTGATTAAACTGCTGGAATATCATCTTTTGTTATGTATTGATTGCTGATTTAGCTAAATAGTCCGCTAGTTGATTCAGCTCTCTAAAACTATGCCAGACCTGTACATTTATTTTCTGCATCATCTCATGTATGTCTTCCACCTTCTTGATGATCTCCCATGGTATTCTCCAACACCTGTTAATCATGTTTTTAATGCCAATGAATCTGTTTCCAGTCTCACTTGCATTAATCATTTTTCCAAGCAATATTGTAATGCTTTCCAGACTGCCATGACCTCTGCTTCCATATTAGTAGCCTCCCCTATGCTCTTTTCCTCTGCATATATGAGGTCTCTTCTCCCATCTCTTATGCAATATCCATATGAACTCTGCCTGAGATTCCCTTTACCAGCTCCATTAGTGTTGCATGTCACCCAACCTTCCTGTGGTTGCTTCCACTTGACCAACTTGTAGTGTAATGTTGGCTTGTACTTATGTAGCGTGTCCATTGTATCTGACCAGTGATGTGAAATTCTTTTTATCCATGGAAATTTTTACCCTTATAAACTGATGTATTGTCAATTGACATTGATAATACATCCTGTTGTAAGAGGTTTCCATTCCATGTTTGAAAGAATTTCTCCGCTTCCACAGTTCCCACATAATGATCGCTGGAATTACCTTCAATACTTGTTCAAGCTTATTTGATGCCTTATGCTCCCATTATTTGAAAATGAGTTGTTGAAGATTTAACCCATTTATTGTAATACATGCAAATGTAGCAAACTGCTTCTATAGCTTTTGGGCTATGGGAGTTTTAGTAAAACGTGAGACATAGTCTCCATTTCCCCTTTGTCACAGCAATAACATTTGGACACTACTTGCATCCTCATTCTCTTAAGATTGTCATCTGTAGCAATTGTCCTCCTCTACGCCCTCCATAAAAAGAAACTAATCTTAAATGGCAGCCCCTTGAACCACATGCCACTCCTCCATTCCTCTTCTACCTTTTTACCTCTCATTATGTGGTAAGCTGATTTAACAGTAAATATTTCAATTGTTTTACTAACCCACCATGTCTTATCTAAACTTTCCTCCAATGTGTTGGGCTTAATGTTCGTGATTATATGCTGAACCATATAATCATATATAAACATCTTTAGTTTACTCTCATCCCATGATCCATTTTTGATAAATTCTTTCACCTCTAACTCCTCTTTTTGTGCCAACTCCCCTTATGTATAGTATAATGCCCCTTGTCTAGTCCAATTGTCAAATCAAAAAATGGAATTTCCAGCTTTGATTTGCCACCAAATTTCATGTACCACTTCCTCTCTAATGTTGACCATTTTCCTGCATACTTGTGAAACACATGAGCTTGTTGTGATCATTGGGTGATATTTCTTGCAGTATTTATTCTACATGCATTTTTTCCATAATGACTTTGTGGATACGTGAAAGTTCCATCAGAACTTTGCAAATAAAGCTTTGTTGACATCATGTAGTGATCGAAACCCAAGTCCTCTCTCTCCCTTTGGGTAACACAAATCTCCCCAGGCCACCCAATGGTTTCCTTTAACTTCTCCCAAGTTTCCCCAAATTTTTTTTGATGAATTTGCTCTAACACTTTTTTGGGTGGATTCAAAGCAGATAACATGTAAATTGGCATTGATTGCAGCACATTATTGACTAGCACCCACTTCTCACCAAAAGATAAGAACTTATTATGCCATGTTAGGATTCTCTTAGCAATTTTCTTAACCATTTCTTCATAATAGCTCGACTTCTTCCTACCATAGAAAACTGGACAACCCAAGTATGTGAAAGAAAATTACCTTGTCTTATCCCCATTAATCTGTGCATTCTGATTGCTACAATCAAAGAAGTTTTATCACGGAGATTAAAAAAATGTTTGATTTATTAATCTTTTGCCCAGAAACATTTTCATAATCTCTTAAAACCTTC